CAGGGTGAGCAGTGTCTGGGCTCCCTTGGGAAATTCTGTTTCAATCTGGTTCAGCCAATTGCAAGCAGCAGATGTAACAAAGAGCTCGCACAGACAGACCCAAGCAAATGCATGCTATATGAAGAATAAGCAGCTTGAGTTCCAAGAGAAACATGACTGCTTTAATATCTCTTCATTACCAATTATTGTCCTCAACATCTTGGTTTTTTGTTCGTTTGTTTGCTCACTTGCTTGCTTTGCCTGTGCCTTTAGCAAATCTTCATACATAGAAGGGGAGAGCTAGTCTAAGTACTTTACCCATTGTCAGTTGCTAGATTAATGTTCCTCCAGTTAATCCTCCTAGGAGGTCTCTACCATTCTCCTGTCCTTATTATAAAACAACCATGCTCTGGCTCCTTTAGTTCATCACTTAAAACAGGAGAGGTGACTGGGGTATACTTACCTCCTGAGACAGGGCTTCCACTTCATTCATTAATCCATTCACACTGGGCTGGAACATTGCTTAGCAGTTAAGAATACTTGCTTCTCTTTCAGAGAACTCCATCACCCACATACAGTTCAGAATGGCCTGAAAATCCAAGAGCAGGTGGTACAACACGCTACTCTGGCCTCCAGGGGTACCCAATCTCAGTTGTGTACACACACACACACACACACACACACACACACACACACACACACATAAATAATTTAAAAATAAAGAATTCACTAAGCGTCTACCAAGTACTAGGCGCTATTGTAAGCAGTGAAAACCTAGAAACAGTGTCTGGTTCATGTGCACATCTGATAAAGGACAAAGGAAGACAGACCATGTTCAAGGAAATGGAAATTCTGTAAACATAACCTGCTTTTGCAAGCAGCTCCTTCCTGGGCCCAGGCTGCATACTTGAATTTGCTCACTCAGGTATTTTGCTGAGAACTAAATGCTCTGTAGCATTTAATCAAGGAAGGAGATGAGCCAGCATAGGAGTTATGCATTGATGCCCACTAGCTGGTATCTCCTGCAACCCCAGCTCCCAACCCCATCACCATCACAAAATGTTCTCCACATTTTGTGGATAACACCGGAACACAAAAATCCCTTGACTTCATAATTTAGTCACACAGAACTAGTTTAACCATACCCTCCACAGATCTTCATTTTACCAAAAGTTTCCATCACAAGCTCCAAGCTGTCAGTCAAACTGGGAAATATTCAAAGCTCTCTCAGCACTTGTAATGTAGAGTGTAGCATAAAATGTTGATTTCCTCTTTCATTCTACTCCTTTAAAATGCTAGAATGTGCTCAAAAGTACTATTTCTTTGGGGTTCAGAGCTCTAGCTTCTCCTCCCCTTGAGCTTAATGCAAAGCCTCTCGCCAGATTGCTCAGTAGATGTAGATCACGGAAAGATCACCCATTCATTATAGGAACTTTCCCCTTGTGCTCACCTCAAATCTGTCTTCTCTGGGATGCCATTTGTGTCTGGTCCAACACTTCCAGCATCCTTCTCCCATCCACATAGCCCTTCACCTTAACCCATCTCATAATGTTGCTCCTCGTTTTAGGATGTGTTCTCCTTCCAGGTACCTAACTCCACAAGAACAAGAAGAGCACCATGCATTGTCTGTCTTCTGAGCACACAGCCCAAAGACCGTATGCCTCAAAGCTTGATGCTCCATACCTACCATTTCCTAACTCTTCAGTATAAAGATCTTTATTCTTATTTAGGGGCCAGCATGTATGGATGACTAAATCCCAAGGAAATAACCTGAAGTAGCAGGGAGTTAGATTTGTAAACAGCAATCCAATCACACGGGCCATGTCAACAAGAAGCAGATAACTGTAAAACACTCATGGCTGTGCTTGCAAAGGTCTTTGAATATACAGAGGTCCTACTTCCAAATCCCTGGACTTAGGACAAAAAAAACATTCTCAAATGATTATATTGCAAATTTTTCAAGAGGTAGATATTTTAGCTACAATTTCTATTCAATGTATATTGTTTTACCCCTAAACTTTTCCCAGGCATTTGTGAGGTCTGACACCAGGAAAATCGAATAGAATAATAATTATGAGATACAGTCTATGTGGCTTTAGGCCATTTCACATATACTTAAAGTATTTGTAGCCACCTGCAAGAAGAAATGGCTCCCAAGGATATTCTTGCCATAGAAAGGGACAACTCAACCAAACACTATGACACGATGGAGTCAGATCAGAGATCATAATCATGTTAGTACATACTCCACTTCTCAATACTCCAAGCACAAGTATTCAGTGAGCAGAGTTAACCTATGTAGAATTCCCAGCCATCAGCCATGAAAAATATGAATACAAAATTGGTTTTTCAGTGATGCGAAGTCAACCCAAAGTCTTCTCTGGGAAGGCATTTACCCATCACTCCATCATCAATATTTATAAATGTGATACGCGTTTTTCTTCTGTTCATCAGAATCTAACAAAATTATTATTCCAAGTTCTTATGTTTAAAAGCACAAAATTATAATAATACTATTAGTAATAATATTATAATAACACAAACATGAAAGGAACTGTGTGACAGCTCCCCACTAAAATGAAAATTAAACCAAAAAAGAGTGTAAGATTTTATAAATATGAATTTGAGTAGCTGAAAAATATTCACTAAACCATATTAAAAACAATACTGGGTTATAGCTTTACTCTCAGTGGAGAAGATACAATCCTAAAACTGCTGCCAAAAAAAGAGGTGGTTCAAGAATATATAATCAGAAATTAATGTAAGGGTGTTATAGGAAAGTATATTAGGTATTTAAAATACCATCTTTCTGGAGGTTTTCAAAGTTTTCACATTTGGAAGGTTTTCTCCTCCCCTCCCTCAGTGTATGTGTAGAGGGGATCCTCATATTCCACTTTTGAGACAGGGTCTGTCGTTTCTTCTCTCTTGCTGGACCAGAATCTTCTGGGAATTCTCCTGTCTCTGCCTGCAATCTTGCCCTAAGGGTGCTGGGACTACATATGTACACTAGGCCTTGAAGTCAAGTTTCTATCACAAGCTGTGTACCCACTGGACCATCTTCCCAGTACCTACATTTGAATTTTATTCATATTTTATTAATGCATATTTTATTTACAGGATATTTGTTTTCATATTTAATAAAATCTTGTTATTCCTTTTCTTGAATAAATTATTCATCAGTGTGTGTGTTTATATAGTATATATAAAATCCTAAAAATCCTTACTCAACATCCTATAGCAAGGTAGAGAAAAAAAATATTCTATGCCAGATATAAGCAGGTTGTTGACATATATCAGGAAAATATCATAATGTCATATCACGGCCCACCAAGAATGAGCAAGTTTGTCTTCTTATAACTGAAGCTTGTATTAGAGGGCAGATAATCACTAGGCTAGATGGCTTTCACTGGTCTCTGTTTTACTTTTGTCCACTGTGATACTTAATAATGAGAGTTTTGTGATTTGCCTAGGAAAGGTAATGACCTTTTTTAAAGATGAGTGGAGAATCGTCAAATTAATTCAACATCTGCAGTGCTGACAGTGTAGTATCAATACCCCTGAGCACTAATGGATATTGAGCCAATTTTCCAAGGTCAAAGTTCCAATTACTATGTGAATCCTCAAATGGTTCTAGATTGTGAACCATTTCTGACTCCCATCTACTGTGCTTGCATTGCATTATCTGCAAAGGGACACATGTCCCATGACTCCCAATTTTCCATTCAGAGTGTCCTGAGGAAATAGAGTTTAAATAAATATGAAGGAGCATCTCATGGTCTTATGTCTCCCCAACACCCAACAAGCTGTTAGAACAAGTACCTACTATACCATTGAATGCACTGCTGGGGGAGGAGGGTCATAAAAGCCCATAACCTCTCATCTGGAAGCAGAGCAGTAGTGGTCTCTTTCACGCTCCAGCAGAGTATGAAAGATGCTTGTTTCTAAGGCCTTCAGTTGTGAACCATTCTTTTCTTTTAATCTCAAAAAGAAAAGGATGGATTCTGAGAAACAATGATATTGTAGAAACCAACTGAAATCAGAAGACTCCACAGATCTAAGATTGCACGTTACTAAAATTCTGGATGATGCTCTGTTTTACATATTCAAAACAAGATGTCAAGAATAAAAACATTGGAGAATTTTGATGAATATAAACCTCATTCCTGTCATCTCATTTGATATAATCATTCTAATATTTTATTTCTAGCACTTCCTTTTCTCCCAGGCTGGGCTACAGTCAGCTCTTTCTCTCTCCCCTGACAGTATGTTTTACCTCCAAGCACTACTCCTGCCGTTGATGGACATCCTCCTTGTTCCCTGCTGAATGGAATCTTCCAACTTTCATAGACCCAACTTTCCTCCTAGAAATTTATCATTAATTCTCTCTCAACCCCATTGCTCAGAGTTTTTATCTATCTGTATGTTGCGTTTGAAATTTGAAAATTTAATTGGAACAAACTATTTCAATGTTGTTTGAAAATCATATTTAATAATATAACCATTATTTTAAACTAACTGATTAAAGCATTTATATAACATGAACAACTAAGGAGAAACCTTTATAAAACTAGATAAACTAAAATAAGTTTAGTACCCAGGCATTCACAAACCCATTATCACATATGTACTAGGAGAAATGTAGACAATTACTCATGACTTCTAAACTGGGTCTCAGAGCATTACAGGTCTCTTTGCTTGGCTTCTTTTCTTTTCTTTTCTATTTCACTGGATTCAATAATAACAAAAACATGAAGAATTTGCTAGGACACAGAAAAAACCAGGGATTGCTCAACTATGTTGGTTTATGAAAGGAAGATATTTGCCATGACAATTTAAGCATGTGAGAAGGGGGCTGGAAATCTTTGTAGAGACCCAAAGTGAAGTGATGACCTCTATGACAAGCTATATAAAATTCCCAAGACTTTAAAACAATCTCTACATATGTATGTGTGTTAGGATGCTTTTTTCTAACAGGATGGATAGATTTTTCACATAATTGATAGTTTTGTTTTCTTTTACAGGTCTGCTTTGTGAATCTGGATGTAAACAAGGATGCCTGCAGCACAGAGCACCTGCAGCAGGTAAGAGCTGGACCTGGAGCCCTCCAGGAGCCTGTGAGGAAGGCTAGACTATGTGATGCTCTTCTGTAGAAGTGTAGATGGCTTCATCCCTGCCCATTTCCTTAACCTTGCTCTGCAGCTTTTCAGGCTCTTGCCCCATTATATGTTTGAGAGTCACTTTTCCCTGCCCACAAAACTGTTCACGGAGGTACCTCCCCTCACCCATCAACATCCTAATATGACTATCCTGTCCTTTCTTCATTTTCACACCACAGTCTGGCCTGACTTTTCCTAGGTGTCTGATAATTCAGGTGAAGGTAGCCATCCCTTTCCTCTGGTTCTCAAGATTACTATTTCCCAATCTGTCAATCAAATCTTGTCTCAACGGTGTTTTCCTTGTCTAACCCTCATCATGAGCTTGAATATTTTGCACCTCATGACAGCCAATGTGCCCAAGCTCATCCAAGGTTGAGCCCTGATGTGAATTATTGGCTGCATTAACCTGTTGAATGTCTGTCTGTTCAGTTCTATAGAAGCTGAGCATGCCTGTGGTACAGGAAAAAGAATTCAGTAATGTCACAGTTTGTCATTACATACTCAAATCTGAGAGGTTTGACCTCGTTTGCTGTAACAGCACATTGGCAGTTGGATTATCACACAATAATACACACATGCTTCACTCAGTTGATACTAGTAGCCCAGTTATTCAGGACCCAAGCACAGTATATGCAGAACCTGAGATTACTCAGTGCTCCTACGTCTTTTTCTTGGTATAATTGAATCAAGTTACTCACAGGGATTACTCACTATAAACTTTCTCCAGGTTCCAAATATTGTTCCCTGTGTAGCACTAGTGGTTTCAAAGAAAATTGTGAATATAACTTTATTCGATGGAGTTATGTAGACTCCTTCAGAGATAGGACAGAAAGGGTGGAAGCAAAGCCCCATCATAGTAACTGTGTCCTCATAATTTATGGAATTACTTAAGAGAGTTTTCAGTTACAGCTTCAACACGTATAGATGATATGATTTGTACAAGTTACTTTCTTCTAGGCCATAGGCTATTTATGAGTATATGAAAGTGATTATGGCATGTCATTCACACAGGGTTCTGTTAAGGATTAAATAGAATAGGATGTCACATATACAGACTTAAACTGCCTAGATCATAGTTAAAGCAAAATCAGTATTGTATGTGATTTTTTTATTATTGAGTTTATCAGAACAGAAGAATACTAGTAAAGTAATTCCTTTAATTCACATTTAAAGATGAAAGAATATTTCCAAACTAGTGTTTATTCCTATTGTGTAATAGTAATTACCAAATGTTAACTTTGGAAAATTCAAAACCAGAGTGTTTTTAAGTTTAAATTTTCTATTCCAATCTTAATTTTTATTATCTAATTTCAAACAGTTTCTTTTCTAGATTTCACGGTTTTTAATGTTTTTATATTTTGAGATTATACTATAATTACATCATTTTCTACCTCATCCCTCTCATCCCTCAATTCCTCCCCAGCACATCTGTTATCTGTTTTTGATTGTTGTTGTTGATGATGATGGTGGTAGTGGTGTGTGTGTGTGTGTGTGTGTGTGTGTGTGTGTGTGTGTGTGTGTGTGTGTGTTATGTTTTAAGGAATGACCATTTGGTATCAGATAGTTGTGTTCTTCCCTGGGGAGGGCTATTTATTTATCCTGCTCTCGGCATTCCTTAGTTGCCTGCAGTCCTCTGTTGGGTTGAGGCCTCCTGAGCTTTCTCCCTTCCCTGTTACCACATATATTGGTGTCATCCTTTTTCAGGTCAGGTTAGGCCGTCATGATGGTCACACTTCATGGGTAGCTTCTCTGACATTTCTAGGAGAAATAATCCCACAGCGAACTTCTTGTTACTCTGCCTCCCAAGGTTTTTTGCCTGCCTCTTCTACAATGATCCCTGAGTCTTAGGTTGTGTTGTAAGGGTCTATAGACTAAATAACAAATACATTTTGCAGATGGAACAGTTTGGAAGTATTATTTTAGAAGTATAAAGGAATCCTCTGAACTAACAAAGTCTTATCCTACAGAAACTGCTCAACGTTTCACCAGACCTTCCAAAACTCATCAATTCCATGAATGTCCAACAACCGAAAGAAAATGAAATTGTCCTCCTAAGTGGGTTAGCCTCTGGAAACCTCCAGGCAGATTTTGATGTTTCACAGGTAAGGAGCATAGTTCTCAATCAACTATTCACTTAGTTATAAACTTTTCTGTAGTCAGATAGATATGACTCCAAAACATGAGCTTTAGTGGAAGAGTCAACAAGGACTCTGTATTTGATAGCAGCCTTTATCTCTGTTTCTCCCACATAGCATCACTCAGAGCTTGATAGACTTTTTTCCCTCTGCATCAGTTCTCAGATCCACAGTGTTGTTTCACTGGGGCTTAAGCAGGTCCTTTCTATTCTACAAAGCCTAGCTAAATAGTCGATTTCAGAATTTTCTACCCATTTAGGAAAAAGTCCAGAATTCTAGTATATATCATTTGATTGATCATCACACCATCCAATAGTATCATTCTTCTGGGGCTTATTTACTCCTTAAAAATACCAAATTAGGCAGGATTGTAAGTAAGGAATTCTGGGATGGAAATGGGGAAGTATGATAGACACAGGGAATAAAATCTCAGAAGAAAGAATGTCATTAAAAATAAAGCAGGAATGGAAACATTATATATTCTGATATATTCCTCTTCGCTGTTGTATAAACCATCACAACACTACTTTGAAGAAAGAACTTGAAACTTTTAGTCAATTTGCAAGAAAAGTATACACAAGGTATGTTGTAATAGCACATATGATGGTTCAAAATTAAACTAATGAGCATTTGTTTTGCACCAAACATCAGAAACCCAGAAAACCACCCTTTACTCAGTCTTGACTCCAGAGACTTAGTGCAGATCTCTACCCCTAGTCTATTTGAATTTTCTAATTAAGACATCAACATAATAATATTTTTCATTATCTCCTGCTACCATTTATGTTGCATAATTAATTTAAATAATATTAAGTAGCCAATAAGAAATTATCTCAGCCCATAACTGTGACAAGTCCACATGGTTCCAGTCGACAGACATTTGGGCTGCCTTTTATGGTAGCTGTCTGACTGTCCTGCTTTGTACCTCACAATATATTTTGTGTTTAACAGTCAGAAGATGTCTGGTAATTTTCAAGTTAGTGGGCTATGTCTAACTTGGTAAGAAAGGAAATCAATTCAGATGAAAGAAATAGTTAACTGTTTTTCACCACTTGGCATGAAGAAACACAGGTTTGTGGGTTCAGTAAAATCGACACACCATTGCATCTCCAGGTCTATGCACATGACTTCCTTGAAGAAGCATGCCACAATTTAGTGTAAGTGGGTTACAGTTTGAAATTATACATTTCAAAAGAGCACCCCAAAAAAGGCTGAGACTTCAAGTTCACATGCCACACGTTGGAATGCAAGGTTGTGTGCCACCATCCTTGAGAAACAGTTCAAATCACAAATGTGCAGAGCTAAATACTAGCCCTGCAAACTAGAAACTTCTGAACCCTAATGCAAATGATTGACTTCTTTATTTTAAAATCATCTTTCCTACAATTACTCTAGTTACAATATTCAACCAAAAGCTCATATATGGCAGACAGATAAGCAAAAGCTAAACTACTTCAGGAGCTAGCATGTGGGCATCCATCTGTATGTGTCCTGTTGTATGGCCTTGTGTTCCCTACTAATAAACACACAAGCATTAGACCCAGTTGATGCCAGTCACAGATGAGCATAGGATTGAAATGTCTTTTAAAAGTGGCCATTCAGACATAAAATATTTATTCCCAAACAACTCTAATTCCACTTAAGGATTGAATTTCTCCCCTGTCCATTAACTTTTATTTCCATTTGGAGATATTTCCCCTGAAGTCTGCTGTAAATCCACACATTATTGCTATTATTAAAAATGAAACTGTAGTGGCTGGGGCTCAGTGGAAAGAGTGCTTGTTGTGGAAGCATAATGGCCTAAGGTCCGAGCCCTGGAACTCACGTAAAAGACAAGTATTTCAACAATATAGCTATAATCCCAGTGCTGGGAGGTGTGAGTGTAACAGTGGCAGGTCCTGGGGTCTCACTGGCCCATCTAGGCAAAACGAAAACCTCCAAGTTTCATGACAGACCCTGTCTGAAAAAAATGGAGATGGAGAGTGGTAGAAAATGACAAATGACAGCCAGCATTAACCTCTAGCTTCTACATGTATAGATTATGACAAGAGCACTGACACACCTGTGAACATATACATATATGTATATGTAGACATATATACACATGCAGAGAACTGTGCACAGTCTTTTCCTTTTTGGTTTTTTTTTTGGTTTACTAGTTATCTGTTCAGGAAAGGAACAATTAAAACTTTTGCTTCTCTCTTTTTTTTTTTACTTTTGCAGAATTTTATTTCAATATGAACTCCGTTATTTTATAAGTTTAAAATACAGTAAAGGCTTCCAAAATTTCTTATCTTTATGTTTCCAGTATGTATACATGGGATTTGCAAGTCACACATACTGTTTAAATGCTATGTTACATGATATCCAAAGGTGTTTTATCTCCAGGATAAACTCTCTGATATCTTCTAAAATTCGAAAGTTTGATATAAGGTATGCTATAGTCTAAACATTTGTGAAAATTCTGATATGAATTTTCTAATGTGCTCCAAGATATGAGCAGCTACTAAACAAAAAAGACGATATATAGTGTCAAAACATTCATCATATTCACCCTGCCTGGGCACTTTCTTTGCAGCATAGAGGCTCTGATGTTCATTAAAGTATGAACACAAATTTAAGGATTTCACACAGTCTTTAGTTTGGCAAGGTTCTTCTCCAATGCACGTGCTTCCATGTCTATCTGGATTTGTGGAGTCAATAGAGGCATCCCCAGGACTATTGTGTCTGTAGTTATTAGAGTTTTCTGTAGCTTAACTTGTTCTATAAAGTGCACATGTAGAGGAGTCATGAAGAATTTTCCCAAACTGATTACACTGACAAGACTCTGTTTCAGTCTTCCCATATTGATGGGCAGGATCACATATGTAATAATTCTTTTGCTTCTCTTTTAATGGAAATACTATGAATAATGAAGATGAATCCTGAAGAACAGCCAGGTGGTCCATAGCTCTAAGTCTGAATAGTATTATCAGGTCTATCCCCATCATTTAGGTCCTTTTGGCATTGGCCTTTCCTGTGTGTTAATGCTGTAGACACCATCTGCCCTGTTTCAGAGTGTGTCTTTATATTTCACATAGACTCCTTCTTCAAGACAGCAATAACAATGTGAAGCCTAAATATAGTTGAGAAAACACTTGGCTTTATATCCAAAACACTGACAAAAAGTCAAAACACTTAGCTACTATCAAGATAGCAAATGGTAATGTTCTGAGAGAAAGGTCTCCATTTTATCAAGAGAGGTGGTCTGGAAGCCAGAGAACCCCTTCTATAAACCTTCAGCCAAACTTCTTCCTCACCCTAGGCCTCAACCTACCTCCAACCTCTGAGCATTTAGCCCAGGAAATACATTACTGTGATTTCTTTCCCATTTGACATGTAATTAATTTTCTTTGTAAAGCCTCTATCCAGTTTTATAAGCTAGTAGTGTTTTATCCATGGACCTGAGAACCATGTATTGAAACCAGCACCCCCTCTCTCATTCTAGAAGAGAATGGGGTCTAATATCTGTAGGCTTTTGGCCCCGAGATAGAGAGCATTGTACCTTTCCCTATGTAAAGCCAATTAGGAAACACCAATGACCTTAAAGCTCCATTGCTTTTAGTTTCGTTACAGTGATGGCCTGGGTTCTGTGTTCACTCTGTTTATTTCAATAATGTTGAAAAATAAAATCTTCCTGGCCTATTCAACTCTGAAAGCTTGTCTTTTGCTTTGATAAGAGAATTCTCAACTATATGATACAGCCAGTTGTTTTCTTTTAAGTAAAACTTTCTTCAAGATTTCCTGTGTTTCAAAATGTCATATGATGTTTTTTCAAACAGTTTGCTGGCAGGAGCTCTAAAGATATTTCTAATATTTTTAAGATCCATTTTCCTTTCTGTAGGAGAGGTTGGAAACAAGAAAATGGTCACTGACAGTTGTCTTTTTTGTCATTTTGGAGAAAGTGCCTTCTTGTCTCTCTGTTTTCAGTGCCCTTGGTTATCTGATATCTGCTTGGTTCAATGTGCAAGAGGAAACAGACCAAACAGTACCAACTGCATCATCTTTGAGATCAACAAGTTCCTAATTGGCCTGGAAGTGGTGCAGGAGCGCCAGCTCCACCTGGAGACCAATGTTTTGAAGCTGGAGGATGATACAAACTGTTCCCTGTCTTCAATCGAAGAAGATTTTCTTACAGCCTCTGAGCACTTGGAGGAAGAAATTGAGGTGGAGGAATACGGAAGTGGTAAGACATTGCTCGCAAAACAAGTGTGCTCCCCACCCCAGATTAGTCACCCTACCCTACAACATTGTCAGTGGAAAAGTCGAGAAAAGTTTCAGGCCATGTCAATTTTGCTGACTCATCACAATCTCTACCTGTTCAGGTTTGATGAGGCAACGATAGTAAGAGAACACTGGTGAACATGCTGACTAATGTATTTAAGACAGCTTAATGCTTGGATGGATACTGGCTCCCAAAAGATGCCTTAGGGATGCTGAGGGAAATCTGTGTGCTCTAAAGGGAAAGCCTCCTATTCATCAAGAGAAAGATTCTTGCTAACAGGAAAGTTGGTTTCCCCAAAACTTCCAGAAAAGCCAGTATTATCAACAGGAATCAAGTTGGCCTGGCTTGGATTGGAATCCCAGAACTTCACTTTGAGGCTCTCATATATAAGCTTCTCTCTGATCTCTTTTAAGCCTTGGTTTCCAAAAGTTAGTTAGTTAGTTAGTGGTGGCTGTGAGATTAGAGGGAATGGCCCAGCAAAGTGCTCAGCAGTCATTTACATGTGCTGATTCTTCAACAGAACTCAGCTAGTGTGTCCCTCTTCCCACTGTAAACCACAGAGAAGGGACATGCATGAAGTGTTGCATTGTTGCTGAGGCAGGTGCCGTACAAACTTCAGTGCAAATCTTTGCAACACAGCTCATATGAAGTTCTTCTTATAGACCCCACCCCTTCTTTTTCCCTTCCCCTGTGATGTAATTTCCTGTGTCACTTTCCCAGGGAAAAACGATGATAAGCCATCATTCCCAAATACCTTCAGCTCCCCTAAGCCCTGCATTTATGAACCACATGAAAAGCACATTATACAACAATATTCCATAACAAAACTCAACATCTATATCAGATTCACTTTAAGTGAGGCAACAGCCACAGCGTTTTTTTAAAGGGGGGGGGAAGGAGAGCAAATGTAGAAAGAAATTGTTAGTTTAGGCCCATTAGAATCTGCTATCCAAAAAGTAATATAGGTTGGTCCTCTATTTCTCTTTACTAGGTTTTGAAACTATAAACCTGTCAGTTAATATTTTGGAAGGCAAAAAGCCTAAGGAAGCGACCCAGGAAGGATGGGATTACCACAAGGAAAAGTCACATTGTGCTTTAGGGGAAAAACATGTTAGGAAATACCGTACACCCTTGATGAAACTTGAAGGATCAAAGGAAAACATAGCAGAGAACACAGCTTTGCAAAGTCTCAATCCTTCAGCTGGGGCATCCTGCTGGAAAAGTGAAGTTGCAGAGGGGAAAAAACAGCTCACCTCAAACCCCTCCTACCCTGAAAACATCAAAGGAGAAACAGAAACATCTCAGATGCTATACATTCCTAGGGACACTTATCTCTCCATGGTTAAGAAAGATGGGCTTTCCCAGTGTGGAGCTGTCACTGAGCAGAGCAGCAACCACAGTGACCGTGGTGGCATGGGAAACTCTCTTTCAGTTGTTCAAAATGGAGAAGCCACCGCAGGGGAGTATGCTACAAATTTAGCTGAATCAGTGCTGCAAGATGCCTTTATCAGATTATCTCAGGCACAACCAACACTCCCCAGGGAATCTTCAGTCAGCATCTCTGTGGGAAGTGCTCTGATTCCCAGTGGCTGTTGTACAAGAGATATGGTGGTACCTCGTTCGTGGGATGAGCTCCCCAAAATTGTCATTGTGCAGAGCCCAGATGGCAGTGACACTGCCCCAGAACCAAGTGTCTCTTCCTGGCCTGAGATGGAAGTTTCTGTTGAAACTTCAGGCATCTTTTGTGGAGAAGGCACCAGCAGACCCACTCAGAGTGCCCTAGAAGTTGCACTAGCTTGTGCGGCCACTGTCATTGGAACCATTTCCAGTCCACAGGCCACAGAGAGACTCACCATGGAGCAGGAATCCCTGCTATCCAGCTATGCCCAGAGAGACAGTGAGGTACAGCAAACTCAAGTGCCCCAAGTACTCATGGAACCTTCTATAACTGAATACTCCTTCCCATCAGCTCTGTGTGGCATGACACAGGTGGCAAGTGCTGTCGCTGTCTGTGGCCTAAGTGAAAGAGAAGAGGTGACATGTCCTGTAGCTCCAAGGGACCTCTTACCCACATCTGGGGCTTCTGAAGAAACATCCTCAATTGGCAGCTTAGTGATGGAGAGGAGCGCAGAGCTGGGGAAAGAAGCCATTGCAGGGGCTCTGCTCAGGGAGGCTGCTGGGGTTTTAGCACGGCCTGAAGCATACAGCAGCCTTGGAGACCTCTTGGACTCCGTGAAGAGGAGCATCATAGAAACCACTTCCAACACCCAGACCCTGTGCAAAGAAAACATTCAAAGGAATGAACTGGCACAGACCTTGGCCAATGTCATCCTCAAGCATTCCATTGATGAAGCTCAACAGAGAAACACAACAGCTCACCCCACCGACGAAAGGCAGCCCTATGGAACTCTGGACACCTTAATGGAGAGTGTGAACCAGCTGCTCCATAATGTGATCTGCTTCACATTCAAAAAGATGCATCATGTCGTCTCACTCGGGGAACATCCCAGCAGCCTCTCTAAAGAGACCATCAGGTGGACAGAGCCCGAAGCCTTAGGTTGCCAGTCATTTGATAATCAGGCTGCTGGTCAGGCATGGGCAAAATCCTCAGCATGCTCCAACGGCCATGCTCTTGGCAATGCCCGTGACACTGGCCTTGTCATCAGTGATCTTGAGGCTGGAGCTCCTAAGCAAAACAAGTGTGGATCAAGGCCGGGACTATTCAACAACCCCAGGCTGCAATCTGAATCCTCACGCGGTCATAGAGTGCTTGATTCAACTACTAAAACATCCCCCAAGGAAATGTATCTGAAAGGGATTGTAGGAGAGGATTCAAAGACCCCTCCCCACACACTCAGTTATGATGGCAATGAACAGAGAGCCTCTACAGAAATAGGGAAGTTACCCAAAACAAGCAAATGCTGCAGTGACTCCCAGGAAACTGAAGATGGTATCGTTCCAAACATCCAAGAGAAATACACCTGTGCCACACCCATAAACAACGAAGTTCAAGTTAACCGCTCCTTGTTAGGGGATGACCTGGTGTTTCCTGCTCAATCTGCATTACAGGCAAAGCAGTCCGAGGTCTACTGCATCACAGACTTTGCAGAAGACTTGGCAGAGACTGTTGTCTCCATGGCAACCGAAATTGCCGCAATCTGCCTTGACAACTCCAATGGAAAACAGCCGTGGTTTTGTGCTTGGAAAAGAGGGAACGAGTTTCTGGTGGCGCCTAATGGTTCCTGCCGATCCCTGAAGAGGAAGAAGGAGAACTCCGGCAGTGGCAGCACTGTGAGGAAACACAAACCACCTCGCCTCAGCGAAATCAAGAGAAAAACAGACGAGCATCCGGAGCTGAAGGAGAAGCTGATGAACAGAGTCATGGATGAGTCTATGAACCTCGAAGACACTCCTGATTCTGTCAGTACTTTTGCAAACGAAGTGGCAGCCAAGATCATGAATCTAACAGAGTTTTCCATGGTGGATGGGGTGTGGCAAGCCCAGAGTTGTTCCCAGAATCGGTTTCTAGGTGGTGATAGGTGGAACCGGCTGAAGGCCTCCAGCTGTGAAAGCATTCCAGAGGAGGACTCTGATGCCAGGGTCTATGTAAACAGCCTGGGTTTAATGAGTACCTTAAGCCAACCAGTTAGCAGGGCCAGCTCAGTCTCCAAACAGTCCAGCTGTGAGAGTATCACTGATGAGTTTTCCAGGTTCATGGTGAAACAGATGGAAAATGAAGGGAGAGGATTTGAGTTACTGCTGGATTACTACGCTGGCAAAAATGCCAGTAGTATTCTGAGCTCAGCAATGCTGCAGGCATGCCAGAAAAATGACCACCTCAATGTGAGGCCTAGCTGCCCCTCTAAGCAGTCCAGCACAGAGAGCATCACAGAAGAGTTCTACAGATACATGCTGAGGGACATTGCCAAAGAAGGTAAAGATGGTTCCTCCTCCAGACGAAGCAGCCATGACTGGACCACGGGCTTGCTGTCTCCTTCTGCCCGCTCCCCGCTGTGTTACAGACAGTCATCTATGCCTGACAGCAGGTCCCCATGCTCCAGATTAACAGTGAATGCGCCAGTCAAAGCCAACTCCTTAGACGGCTTTGCCCAAAACTGCCCTCAAGATTCCCTAAACGTGCAGCCAGTCAGTAGAGCTTCTTCATCCGGTCTCTGCAAATCAGACTCATGCTTGTATCGCAGAAGTGGCACTGACCAGATCACAAACATGCTAATCCATGAAACATGGGCCAGCTCCATTGAAGCTCTCATGAGAAAGAACAAAATTATTGTGGATGACAGCGAGGCAGCTAGTGTCAGTCCTGGTCCTGTTTCTGGTGTCTCTCCTTTGCAAGTAGACAAGTGTGCAAACAGATTAGCCACCAGCAGAGGTCACAGGAGACCAACTCTGCTTGTAGAGGAGTCTGTGGATTCCCAGAGAAAGGATGTTGTTCCTGAAAGCAATCGTTCCCCAGCGTCATCTCCAAGCAAAACTGCTCCTGTTACAAACCCCAGTGGTTTTGATGGTAGAAGAGAAATTTCTTCATGCCACAATGCCATTGTTCTCAAACACTCCAGGCAGACACTTTGCTCAAGGGATGTACCTTTGATTCAGATAGAGACAGATCAGAAAGAAGAGGGCCTTGGAGAACATGAACCTATCCTTCCCCAAAGTGGCTCCCTAGAGGAAACAGATGAGCACCAGCCTGAAGAAACCATCCCAGATGTGGCCAGAAGTGGCGACACAGCACTGGAAACCTGTCAAAGCTGTTGGTGAGTTAGTTGTCCGTGAGACCAGATAGGGTGCATGTTCACCAGAGTTTACACTTCAATTACTGTTAGTCTAAACCAATAGTTCTCGACCTGTGGGTCACGACCCCTTTGGGGGTCAGACAATCTTTTCATAGGGGTTATATGTCAGACATCCTACATACCATATATTTACATTATGATTCGTAACCATAGCAAAATTACATTTATGAAGTAGCAACAAAAATAATTTTACAGTTGGGGATCACCACAACATGAGGGATCCTATTAGAGGCTCACAGCATTAGGAAGGTGGAGAATCTAAGAACCGTTGTTCTAAATCTTAGGTAGGAATGCAGGGATGTTATTGATGCACAAACATAATTCATGAGACAATAAATGACCTCCGTAGACCCTTGTGCATGTATAAGAAGGGAGATATTCCTCCTTTTCCTTTGACATTTTTCCAACTTTCCTATGGCTGGGCCTGCGGTAGTTTGTAGATTTAGGTCATGGCCCCCAATGTGCCTACTGTTTCATTTTGTTTAAAATGCCTGATCTACATCCTTATCTAAGATCAATAATCCCCTTGGTCATCTTGTGGAAACTTGTTCATATACCTTAATAACTCTTGGCTCAGAATGCTATATTTTTATTGCCTGTCACTCATATGCCAGGAAGCAATGTGAATTCACGTTTACATCCAAGGAGATCGGGTCACTGCCTGACCCCTATAGTTGGTGTTCAATTATGCTTCATGAATGAATGGTTACTATGAACATATGAAACCAGACAGAACCTGATAAAGTTCTGGTATACCTTGCTATAAGCAGAAAAAAAATCTTTTAGGTTAATAAAAATATACTTTGTAATTAACTGTGAGTATTATTTGGAGCATTTCCTCAGCGTTAGATAATTGAGGCAATACTGAATTGGAACAGTTAAATATTTGGAATTTAAAACTGATTTTTTCTATAATCATGGCATAATAAAATATCTGCCTACTGCAAAAGAAAAAAGAAGGAAATGAAGGAGCAAAAGAAGTGGGGGAGAGAGGGACGGACGGAGGAAGGGAGGGAGGGAAGGAGGATAGCTTACTTTTTAACTTCCAGAACAAATCGAATTCATTTATATAACAGAAGAGTCACGGCATCATTCTCATTAAGGTAAGTACTCTGAAGGGTTTGTGACTTTTGAAATTTTCAAGGTGCTTTTCAATCAAAGGAAACAATAATAAGCAAAGGCAGTTTTTTCATTTGGAAATAGTTCAATTTCAATAAACTTTAGTTTTAAAATTTGAGATTAAATTGACTTTTGCTATCTCTTCTATAAAAAGTGTCCTTTTCTGTCTTATTCTAAGAATTCTCTGTGGGGACCCTGTGTCCCACGAGTGCCAGCTCTTCCAGTGCTTGGTGTAACTGTCACAGGGTGCATGCCTAGTGTCTCTGGAAGCTGTCATTTGGACAGCACTTCTCCAGAACATTGTACTGTAAGCAGCTGGAATGAAATTGGAATCAGGGGCAAGATAATTATTTCCCTCAGGCTGCGTAAGGAATATGAGTTTCTTTCCTAACTTCCAGTTTCTGCACACTCCTCACAGGGGACCATTGTATCATTCCTTTATTTTTAGACTATAATTAAAGTTTGGTGAAACAGAAAATTCAGGCTTTAGAAACATACAGTGTAGTCTTTTCAGAGACGTATGCCTATAGTTTGTTATTTCCAGAAAGGCATTAAATATATATATATGTATATATATATATTATACATATAAATATATATAAAATTAACAAGTTGAACACAACTACTACAAAATGCCAACAGTTTTCTAAAGTCTGCAACATTTACCACTAAGCAGAAGAGATCCATGTTTAGGTATTAAAACACCACCACCAGAGAGGATTCTGCATGGTGTCTTTGGTAGAGGGTCCAGTCAGACATGAGACCTTCCTGTTAGACAGTGCTAAGAACTTTCATTTTCTGTTGGGTAGAACCCCAGATACATAGAAGAAGAAAAGAGCAAAAAAGCTTAAGAGAAAAAACACAAAGCTAAGACTGACAAAATAGGCTAAATAGACAAAGAAATGAGGATTCATCAATAATTGTTTGTCTATAGACAGTATTCCTCAAAAAATTTTCTCAAAGGACTATGGAGAAATATATCAGAGCTAAAAACACAAAATAACCAGTATGTCAGTCTTCAGAATTGTTATATGCAGAAATACACAAAAAAGAGAAACACTGGTTCTAGGTACTTAGAAAACTTCATGGTTATAGACACAATCAAATAGTGATTATCATTACACAGTTTTAAATTAAATATCCCTGATGCTATTCCTATAACAGACTTCACCTGCAAACAAACACTTCATACTGCACAAATAAAGCCATAGCTAATTCATATTCTTGTCCCAAATAATCACACAAGCAGTCAATCTCTCACTTCAGGATATAGATACATGATCATGTTTTTATCAAATAAAACAGAAAGAAAGTAGAAGATCCCAGAAATTTAAGAGTTGGATCTAATTGCAAAGCACAAAGACTAAGGATTGGATATCACTTTTGTTTTTGTGGAGCAATATAATCATCATGCAGCATGAACTATACTGTACAGCATAAACTGTATCAATTTGAACCAGTTTCCTAATCTCTTTTATTTGGGGTTATTCATGCAGAAATGGAAATGGTAATATAATTATTGAATTTAAATAATTATTTTTATGCAAAACGCATAATTCCATACTTTACCTTTATGAACATTCAATAAACTCACATGGTTGTCATTGCTGTTTATGATACCATTTGACTGAAGGTATATGGTGGCCTTTATTTCAAGAGAAGCCTTTCCCCCAAGGAGAATGCTGTCATGAACAATGTGAGAGTTTTATTGAAACAAGAGAATTTCGAGGATTGCCAAGCACAAAAATTACTCACAGTTCAGTTGCATTTGCAGAGCTCAGAGTTTCTCTCATGGGATTTGATTTGTCAAAATAACTGGAAACAGAACTTCATTCTCTACAAAGAGTTCAGCCCACTTATGTGCAAAGTAGGGAATGTGACACAATCTCAGTGTTGTTTGGAGGTAGAGAAAGATTAAGTTCTGAAGATATTTTTAGGCTCTTCTCTGAAGGACAGCTTCCTGATTCTTTAAAATGTGGTTAAAATTCAACACAATGAAATAAAAACCATTTCCTTACTTTTTGATTACTTAATAAGAGTCACAGCTGAAAATCCATTGTGGAAATCATTCTCAAATGGAAATATTTGTTGGCTGTTAACATCTTATTTTGAAGATGTATAGACTACAGTTCTTGATTCTTTAAAGCGGCTTTTGTCAACAAAATAAGATAAGCCATAGACTATCAAAACGTATTTCTAAAAGACATACCCCATTAAGGAAAACTATCTAAAGTGTTAAAATTCAAAATGTTTGAATATGTTGACAAATCTCTCATAGCATGGGATTGTTATAATAAGGCAACATGATTTAAAGAAAACAAAATCTGTCAAAATTCAGCAGTAAGAAAATGAACAACTTACTAGAAAATTAAGGGTTCAAGGGTTGAAGGCTAGATTCCCAGCTAATAGGTTTATTCATTGGGAAAAAAGTCCAACACAAAGGCTTTATGTAATCTTTGTATCCACCTGCAATAGGATTCATTATTTTACCACGTTATTGGGAGGTGGTGAAAACTTAGAGGTGTCTAATTGGAAGAAGTGGGTTGTTTGATAAGTGTCCATAGGAGCTATATCTTTTGCTTGCCTGTCTCCTTACTTCTTGTCTGAAATGAAGAGAGCCACTTTATACCATATGATGCTATCATGATATTCACCCTCACCGTGTGTGGGTCCAAAAAGCAACATAACCGGGTAGCCACTGAACTCTCTTAAACCATGAGCTTAAATGGACCTTCACTCCTTTATTTCTCTCAGGTATTTGGCACAGTAACAAAAGGCTAACACACTATGCTCAGCTATCATATGCCATTAAGAAATTTCAAATTCAAACAACTAAATGCAGTGAATATCTATTGAGACTAACAAAATCCAAACCACTGACAATTCCAATTTCTGTCTAGGATGCAGTATGTTACAAACCATTGGTGAAAAATGGATAACTGTTTTTGGAAGACAGTTGTCAGTTTCTTTCAAAACTAAGCAACTGATCTTCATCCAAGGAAAGAAAAAGAAAATCTGTGTGGATCTTTAAATCAGCTTTATTTTTAATTAGCAAAACACAGACAAAAGCAACATGTCTTTTGTCTTAGTTACTTTTTTACTAATGTGACCATACACTATGACCAAGACAACTTATGAAAGAAGGCATTTAATTGGGTTTGTAGCTTCAGAGATTAGAGTCTATAATGTCAGAGTAAAGACCTGGCAAGCAACTTGAGACCTAAAATTTTGATCTTCAAGTATGAGACAAAGGGAGGCACATCAGAAATAGCATGAGTCCTTTTAACCCTCAAAGTCCACCCCTAGTGACACACCTCCTCCAACAATGTCATATCTCCTAATCCTTTACAAACAGTTCCATCAACTAGGAACCAAATATTCACATATATGAAGCCTGTAGAGGCAATTCTCATTCAAACATCACATTCTTCATTAGGTAAATAGTAAAGTATATTGTGGCACATCATAACAGTGGAATAGTGTTAAACAATAGGAAGAAAGAGTGATGGAGCCATGGAAATGAGTGGATTAAGCATGAATTTATGTTGTGAATAACCATCGTAAAGGGCTACAAACTTCATGATTTCAACTGTATTGTATTTGGGAAAGATGAAACAATTGCGACAGGAGAAAAAGGAACAGCTCAAGAGGCTAAGGGAAGTTGGGATGAACAGTGAGAGTTCAGAAAATTTGCCTGGCACAATAACTACTCTGCACAATGCAGTAATAAATGGATCTGCACCCCTGCCATGGTTGAAGTATCTGCTCTCAAAGCCATGGATTAAAAGGCTAATCACAGCTACAAAAAGAAACTGTTTTCTGAGATGTGAGAGCTGCATTTTTTATGGACACAGGAATGAGTATTTAGAAGGCTGTTAGAAGCTATACTACTTAGTAGTAGACTCTCCTGTAAGACCTATGATCTCTCTAGCCACAGGTTATTGTATTGGCTAGATTTCAGGCCTGAGGAGGGCAGAGAGAAGACTGGACAGGAGACAAGTATGGTGACTTATATATGAACTCTGCAAATAAAAATACCACTTTTACAAAACTAAAACTAATAACTATAAAAAATCTAATCATTGATACAAAAGTATGGTGAGCTGCCTACTGAGATATTTTGGGTCATAAAGAGTTCTGTCCTCATAAAGATATTGTTGGGATAGTTGACTCTTGTTGTCTCAGGCTCTCCTGCCCTTCCATACCCACCATAGATGACATGGCAAGAAGTCATTCATCAGATACAGACTCCAAAGCCTTAAGTTCTCACCTCCAGAACTGAGAGCAAAATTTCTATCATTTATAAATTACCAAGTCTTTGTCATTCTGCTATAGGACCACAAAATAGAATAAGACAGTCTTTATATATGTGTCAAAATGCATACAACATATAGCACCAAGAGTGTGCCCTCATGCCAACTATGTACTTTGGATAATAATTACAGCAATGGACCACTACAGTGCAGTATGTTAAGAAGAAGGAGAGGAATGGAGACTTTACATGTGTGGGAAAAACTTACATAGATGGATGGATGGATAAATAGATAGATAGATAGATAGATAAATAGATGTCAATTTTTTTATGTTTTATTAGACAGTCAAACTAGGGCTCATAGCAATCTTTCTGCCTCATCCTTCTAAGTGCTGGTATTATAGAGGTGAATCATACCTGCCTTTTAAATATTCAACCTTCTTGTGAACCTAATACAATTCTAAAGAATAAAGTATATTATATTTTGTTAAATAAAAACAATATGGTTCAGTGAGTAAAGGTATTGGATGCCAGCTCTGACAACTTGAATCTCATCCCCTGGACCCACATGATGGAAGAATAGGATTTGCTCCCATAAGTTGTCCTCTGACCTCTACATATATGCCATGGCAAACACATACTCAATAAATTTAAATAATTAAAGCCTCAAAAAAACATTTTGTTCAAACAATATCTCAAAAAATTTACCACTAGGGAGCTGTGTATTAAGTGTTAGTGGAAGGTAAATTAATGGAAATGAATACTAACAGGGAATTGAAAATAGATAAAGGAGAAAAGAGAGTCACAAAGAGCAGCAGGATACGCTGATATAAAACTAAGAACAGATGGGGCAAATAGAAAACAAGATTGTACCTTTAAACCCAGTCTTACTGATAATCACATTAATTATCAATAATCTAAACACTTCATTTAAAAGGCAGAGATTTTCCTTTTGCATAAAAAACAAAACCCTAGCATAAGCTGATACAAGAAATGACCTGAAAAATAAGGATGAAAAGGGTCAAGAGTAAAGGATGGAAAAAAAGATTTTTAAAGGCCAAATAGCACTCAAGATAAAGAGTATTACCAGGGATAATGATGTTTTATAAGCTAATGGTGTCAATGTATCCAAAAGACAATCTTCTTGTACATAGAACCACAAAGCATAATTTGATAATTTTAAAAGCTAGAAGGAGAAATAGACACAGAAATTTAACATTCTTCTCTTAATAAAAATTTGTAAGCATGCTATAAATGTGTGTATATATTTATCAGAAAAGCAACACTTCCAGACACAACAGAGCACATGCAAATAATGAGCTCAGATACAAGAAAAAAACACATGTTCAGCTCAAGCTCCATCATGACAAAATTCCAACACAAAAGAGGCCAAGTGGACAAGAAATTACACCACTAGCTGAAGAGTTATTGGGAAGGTTCTGGCTTTCTTTATTGATGTGACCCTTAATAAGTTGGCCACACCAGGGCAGTCACCAATCCCAAGACCAGCTGGGCCACAGACTGGACTCATGGGAAAAGAAGTAATAAGAAGAGGAAAAGGGCCGGGCGGTGGTAGCGCACGCCTTTAATCCCAGCACTCGGGAGGCAGAGGCAGGCGGATCTCTGTGAGTTCGAGGCCCAGCTGGACCAACAGCCTCCAAAACAATACAGAGAAACCCTGTCGCGTAAAACCAAAAAAAAAAAAAAAAAAAAAAAAAAAAGAGGAAAAGGAAAATTTCTCAAAGTTGGGAGCAAAAAATGGAAAGATGGAGAGGGAGGAATTAGAGGATGAATGTGAATGTGTTCAAATATGTTGTATGAAATTCTCAAACACTTAATAAAATATTGATTTTAAAAAAGAGTAATCACAATAAACTCAATTTATACAATTTAAGAATAGGCTATCCCAACCGGAAAGTGCACATTTTTAGGTGTACTTAAAACATTTGTGAAGATGTGTCATAGGCCAAAAAGGAAGTCAGTGCACTTTTAAAAACACAGGGGAACTTCAAATAAACTCCAAATGAAAAATGTCAAGTTGTTAAAACTGGCAATATAATAGTAATGCTACTTAGGAAAGATTCCTGTACTTTTCAATGTTTCTGTTTTTTTTTAAACAGAACAGTTTATCATCTCTGTAATGTCCATCATTAAAAACTAGAAAAAATCAGGGCTGGTGCCATAGCTCAGTGAATAAAGCCTGAGTTTGATCTCCAGGACCCACAAGGCAGAAGGAGACTGACTCCTGTAACTGTCCTCTGACCCTCACACCCATGCTGTGGCACAGACTCACCCACACACTAACATATGCAAAATAAACCAATAAATTCAGTGAAAATCTTTTAAAGGTGTATCAAATTAAATTTAAAAGAATACCTGAAAGTAAATAATCAAAATGGGAGTGAATGTCAATGATTGCAAAAATAAAATCTAACATTCCTTTCACCTCAAATACTGATAAATATATACACATATATGCATTTAACATTCAAATGAAATATGTAACAAGTAAAAATGTCTGCTATCATTTCTCCTTTCAAAGGGTTTTCTACAGTAATGAACCAGCTGTGTGTTTAAACTGCTGCCTTCTACCTGTGCCAAGTGATCTATACTTTCCATTTGTGATGATGGCTTAAAATAAACACAGGTTAAGTTAAAAGACTGACCTAAGGAGAAATTTTATGACTGTGATACAGATGGCATGTAGGCATATGAGATAAAAATCAGGAGAGCACTTGGCTTGTTTTCAATGTGGAGATTGGACAATTAACTTTGACATGGCCACAGTCCTCTGAAGCCCTTGTGGGCACTGAGGGGTCATAAGGGAGGCTGCCAGAGGACATAAATCTGTATCACTTGTGTACATTAATCACCAATAAACAGGCAAGGTTATAAGCTTCTCCTGAAAGCAAACAAAAACTAGCACACTGGGTAATCATCACTGGTTCTGAATTTCCATTTTATGGCACAGATGTGAGGTTTGCTGTAAATAGAGCATGAAATTGAGATAAAATAAAATGTGCTGACAGACTTATTTGTTAACCTGGATATTCCATGTCAGTCACTAGGGCTCAGATCCCTTTTTAGCAAGAAATATCTTAGAGTGAATTTTTCTATAGTATAATGTCCTAAATTAATAAGGAATTGGGTCCAAATTTGCTTTTCAACTGGGTGAATAAATGGGGCCAGAGCCCTCTCCTTTATTGCCATATTTAATTCATTCTTACACATTTTTTGTAACTAAACACCATCTCCTTGATGATGCCATCCTCTTTCTCTTTTACCCTATTCAAATATCAACATTGTAGGAAGGAAAACCAGCCCTATTTAGTGAGAAGACATACTAAGGACAGCCACACCATGACACCATCCCTATCCCCAGTGTTTTCAGAGGGCACTTGCTACCAGGCCTGAGCCCACAAGATGGAAGGCAAGAGAGGCTCAACTCCCTCAATTTCCCTCTGACCTCCTCTGGTCCCCTGTCATATGTACACCAGTGCCCCCAACACACAAATAAATAAATATAATAAACATCACTATACCTCAATGATTCTTTTCAACCTACTTTAAAAATAAAGCTGGTAGACAATGATAAGTGGAAGATGCAAGAAAGCTGATGGGGTTTAATTATGAGAAGAAAACGTGGTACCCAGCTTCAAAGGGAGCAGCTGCCTAGAGTAAGACTCCACTGTGTCCAACATCATGCCTGGTGTGTGGAGATGCAGGCTCATGAGTGCCCAGTGTGGGCTCTGAGAACAATTCGATGCTGCACCTCTTCTCTTCATAATAATAACTTGATGTCTACAGTGACAGCCTTGAGAACAGAGAGGAATCAGAAACGGAAGTCTTGAAAGAAGCCAGACCCATGGACGAGTCCCCCAACCCTCCCAGTAGCAGCGAGGAGAGTACAGGCAGCTGGTCCCAGCTGGCCAATGAGGATGACAACCCAGATGACACAAGTAGCTTTCTGCAACTCAGCGAGCGGTCCATGAGGTACTTATCTCCCCTTCTCTTGGCTTCCTAAGAAAGTCGGCCTCAATAAAGATTCCAAAAGTGTGTGTTATATCAGTGCCAGGTATCCTTAATAGAAAAGCAAGGGAAAAAAGGAGGGGGGAAGCCCCCAATTGACCAAGGTCTGTGTTTATCATGATTTGGACGAAAAACTATCCTAATATCTAGTACTTGAATTACCTTGGCCACGTTTAATAATTAGCTATGTTCTCTTTCCCAAAAGTCACAGCAAGTACACCCAGTGCTAAGAATTGTGTGTTTGTTTTAAAAGAAGCTGGTATTAAGATTTGTGAATTTGAACTAAATGATTCATTTGTATTTCAGATGCAACACAGGCTGGGTTTACATGAAGCCAAGTGTTTCCACACTGTGTTGTGAGGCTTTCCCTGATGGGTCCCTTCCTTTATCTTCCCTGCCCTCTGTACTGTTTCTAGAAAAGCTAGAAAGTGGCATCCAGCTGTAACTGCTAATGTGATCTTTTATGTCCAAAGCCTTTTGACCTTATTAAGACCACAGACTGTCCAGAGAGGATAGCTGGAACGTGAGATTGAAACATCTGGATAAAAGATTGTCAAATGTTCTAGTTCTGGCAGTACAGCCTAAGATTCGGGAATATTTTACACTAAATGAGTGGTCTCAAATTTCAAACATCCCCATGAAATGTAGTAAAACAGAAAAAAATGATAACTTGAATCTTTGGATATTGTAGGGTTCGAGTGCGTAGCTTTCTCCAGGGCTTTGTCTAAAACTCTGAGCAAGAACTTTCAGATTGAGAGAACCCTCTCAGTGACTCACAGGATTCTTGAAGGAACAAAGACCCACTACATGACACACTAGAAGTCACTACTGCAAAACCTGGCTAGGAAAAGATAGCTCTGAAAATTCAGAATGCGTGAGGAAACTCAGTACATTTGGTAAAAATCGGATCGGTTCTATTCCACAAGTACTAAAAATTGTCTCAATGGTGCTGTGTTTCAGAGAGAATATTCCCAGTTCCTAAGTAAACCATACGTTGACTATACATCTTATAATAGTGATATTATATGCATTATCCTTTCTCTCTGAGACACAAGTGTGTCACATCTTGCTCCTCCTCTGAGGTTGGAAAATCCTGCCCCAACTTTGTGATTGTGAATTATAAAGTCCTCTAGGGGAAAAAAAGAAGTCAAATGTATGCTCTATGGAATCCTATGGAATATCCCTAAGGAAAAAAATCCTCCATATAGCAAAGGGAGACTCTGGATGCCTGGCTTCTATCTAGAAAAAAAGGAGCAGACAGATAAGCATTAGGGTGTTTTCAACAGCTAGATTTTCAGAAATATATTCAACTGTATAGGTATGACCAATAGGAAAAAGGCTTATTGATGAATACCCTCTTGACTTACTACTTCAGAAATCACAAATTACTCTCAGTATTACTGTCATAAGCATATTTGGCATCTTGTGTCTTCCTTTAATTTATTCAAAAGTCAATATCAATGCAGAAGGTCAGATACAAACCAATAGCACCCTGGGGAACAATGAAGGACCCCTGCCTACAATGGACCATCAGTGTCAGCAGTGTGACCAAGGGTGGAGACGGGCATTAATATGTAAACTTTTGCTTTGTCAGCAATGGCAACAGTAGTGCCACTAGCAGTCTTGGCATTATGGACCTGGACATTTATCAGGAAAGCATACCATCTTCTCCCATGATTAAGTAAGTAGCCATGTGACTCAGTGACTGACAGCACCACTTCAGTTCCATCTGGCAATCCATCGTGATCATGAAGGTTGTGCCCTGCCACCAACTCATTATGTCTGTGCCGCTGTGGTTCCATGTCACTGGAAGACTAAGACCTAAAATAGGCCCCAACCCATCACTGCCTGCTCTCTTGGTTTCAAACATGTCCCTTACAAAATAGCCATTGCAGATAAAGCTTACCAATATAGTCAGAAGTATAGACCATCTTACCTATTTTGGTTTACAGAAACAACAAACAAAAAAATCCATTCCAATTGTACCATACCTTCCTCAGAAGACTATTCAAAAACCTTTGCTATAGAACACAGTGATTTCACTAAAATTAGTTATAAGTGACTTTTCCTTTGCTTGTGGTCACTGGGGGATTACCGATATGGAATGTATTGATGCTAGGGGTTGCCACAAGGAGGATGTCATCCCCATGCAGTAACTCTGCTCTCTCAATATGGGGTCTTCTCAGAGAACTGCTTGAAAAAGCGCAAGATGTACTAGGCAACCTGAAGTCATAACTACTGCTAGAATTTGTGATTATTCTGCAAAATTAACTGGATTGTATTCTAATTTTGGTCATGATGACATAGAATATAATTTGGATATTCAGAACTAAAAAGCCATGTAGCTTTTATGCTGATCCCCTCATCAGAAATATAACATGCTTCTCTATGGCTTACTACAGATTCATTTATTTTATTTCACCCCTGAATAGGTGTATTCTTTGGTGATTGGAGGTTGCCACACCCTACGTTGTTTTTATTACCCGAAGGCAAACACATACATGCTCTTTTTTTTTAAGGAGAACTGAAAACAAATTCAACAAAAATTACTTTTTGGTAGATTAATTTTTCTCCTTTGGGAAACATTACCTTACCACATTCTCTGTCTTTCTTTGTAATATGAAACTATAACTTCAGGGAAAGCTTGTATTGAGGGAAAGTGAAGATAACTTCCATCCCTACCCAGAAATTGCACCTCCCTTGCTGCTGGGTCATTTATACTACTTGCACAGAGATGAATCTATGACTCTGAACCCTTAGAAAATTGACATTCCTGCAAATAATGAATTGTGAATGAAAGAATGGCTATTCTCTCTCTCTCTCTCTCTCTCTCTCTCTCTGTGTGTGTGTGTGTGTGTGTGTGTGTGTGTGTGTGTGTGTGTGAAATTTACTTCACTGATGGAATTTACCCATACAATGGAATGCATGAGCAGATCTTAGCAGCAACAGAGAATATAAGAAAATCTTATATCACCAAAAGACACATTTTTAAAAGTATCATTCCAATTTTCTAGAACCTAGAAAAATATAGGCCAACTACAGGCTTCCCTAGATGGTCACTTCTCTTTAGCTACTGAGCTGCCTGATCTTGTTTCAGGAGCCTTTACAAGGTCTCCCACTACACATAGGGCTCTATAGTAAGGATACACCATGCAGAAAACCTCCAATATTAAACATGACCATAGCTAAGGAGAGGTTTGGTTTGGTTATGAGGCAGTCATTATGAATAAAACCTCCAGCCTACTCTACCTGCACCAAATAAAAATAGTGGAAAAAGAATAAAGTCTATTATTGAGACACTCTGTTTCAATATTTATGTTTCCCAGTTTGTTGGTTGTCCTTATTTCAGTTTGCGGAACAATGTGCATGTACAAACTATTTTTCTACTCTAAAATTCAAATGTACATCATTGTCACAGGATAGAGAAACACACTGTGACAAAATAGAAAAATACAGTTCATTAAGAGACTGATAAAAGGCAGAAGGATGAATCTCCAAATGACAACTAGTTACCTCAAATCTCTCTTTAACTGTTCAACCCTGGGGAGGTTCATGGAAAAGGAGTTGAACAGAAATGAAAGATGTAACTCTCAGAGTTTTCCCCCTCTGACTCCTGACCTAATGCCATTTGAGACCTGCAGGACCTCTCTTTGATGGTAGGGAACTCTGGCTGCAGACCCAGCTGTCCTGTGCAACACCCACCTGGTTCTACTTTGTTCCATGAGAATCATAAGAATGTGTTGCAGAAGTTTGTAGCTCAGAAAGACCCATCACCTCATCTTCCATTACAGCTTCCTCTTCCAAAGCATTGCCAACCATATACTGTTGTTTTCTTCCCCAAGTGAATTAGTAGAAGAAAAGGAGATTCTTAAAGAACAACCAGAAAGCATCATGGGTAAGTCATAACCTCATCCTATTGACACACAATTGCCGGGGGTGTTCTTTTGGAAAGTAGAGTGACAGTGTGCTTGTGTCGGTTCAGAACATGCCTCTGGACTGCCAGGGAGAGCAGCCAGCCCCCAGAGGAACCTGCTGGTGATCAACTTTGACCTGGAGCCGGAGTGTCCTGATGCTGAGCTCCGAGCCACATTGCAGTGGATAGCTGCCTCCGAACTCGGGATCCCCACAATCTACTTTAAGAAATCTCAGGAAAGCAGAATTGAAAAGGTACCATGTTCTGTGTTGGGGTGGATAACAAGACAGGTTTGTGCTTTTTCTCTCTGCTGGAAACTCAGTGGATGCCCATTTAATTCATATGAGTTTGGAGTGTTTAATCTTGAGTTCTTTCAACCAAAAGAACCTTGTGAAAACTTTCAAGCCCCCGGCTGTGGTGGAACATACACATCACTGCTTCACTGACCTTCAGTTTCTTAAACAATTGGTGATAAAGGGAAAAGGAACTAAGGAGATGGGAGCTTTTTCAATGTTTTTGAAATTATTTTTGTTATATCCCTAAACTCTATTTTTGCTACACAATGCTTTTGAGGAATTCTTTATTGAAATGTGTCTTTCAAAATCTCTGTAACCCCTGCTAGAGAGTTCATTCCCCACACCCTCTCCCACTTCTACAACTCTCCAACCAGCAATTTGTTCTTCTTTTTGTGTTCAAGCCCACCCACCTCAGGCATCCTCCTAAACGGCCCTTCCTTTGCTGACAGACTGATGCAGGGCTCACTAGTTCATAAACTTTCCCTTCATTCTTTCCACCCCTAGCTTGCCCAGCACAAAGGTGAACTAAAAGACCACAATCCACAATCATATTGGACGTCCCCCATGCTGTATTCAATCCCATAGGAGGGAATCTAAACTGTTCTCAGGAAGACAGTATTTCCAGTTTCACACAAAGGGTGAATAAAAGCCTTCCCGGGTGCATTTTTAGATAGTGTGTTAATTAAAACGATTTGAATTTAATCCACCTATTTAAAGGGGCAGTCACTTTCCATGCATGCATGACTAAAAAATTCTACATTGTTGGAAGAGCAGGGGTTGTTCTATTGATGTGTTAATATGTAAACTATGTCTTAACTTGGTACTTGTTTACATCTACCAGGTTTTCAATTTTAAAGGTTTATAACTGTGTTTATGAGAAGATAGAGGTTTCACTGCTGCTATTGGGAAAAACACTGGATAATCTTTCATCTATTCTTGTCAACTAGCTCAAGGGACACAAATCTTACTGATGCAGTCCAGGTTTTGTTCTAAGTCAATACAGGTTCTCTGTGCATTATGGCTGTGATATAAATGGGCATCACCCTTCCTTGTCTGAGACTGGATTGGTTAAATGAAGAAAACTTATATAACAATTAGGCATTCTTTTCTCAGTATCAAGGTCTGAGGCTCAATTCTATTTGTTTTTAATTAAGCAAGTAATTAAGTAGCCATTTTTAAGAGTGTGGAAAAGAGAACAATAAAGATAGTGTGCAAAATCAGCAACATTTCTGTAGCTCCTCCTCTTCCCAGAGAAAAGACACCCTAAATTCAGAAGATACTATCTTCCCACTGTCAGTACCAAGGGCATCCACAGACCACAGATGAATACCCTACACCCTTTTGTTGCTTCAGACAAGGTCTTATGTAGTCCTTGAACTCTCTGTGAAGCAGGTAATGACCTTGAACCTTTTTTCATTTTTAATTATGAGGGGTGCATATTCCTGTGAGTGTAGGTGTTTCTGAAGGTCAGTAGAGAATATCTGACTCTCTGGAGTTACAGGCTATTGTGAGCTGTCCAGTGTGGATGCTAAGAACAGTACTCAGTCCTTCTACAAGAGCAGGATATGCTCTTAACTGCTGATCCATCTCTCCAGCACGAATTTTGAACTTGCAACCTTCGTGCCTCAACCTCTCATGTGCTGGTTTGTGTTGTTCTGGGAACTGAACCCAGGAGTTCATGCACGTTAGGTTTGAACACTCTAACAACTGAGTTTCCTCCTCATCCCAAAAGCTTAGCCAATATTTTTGGGAATCCAGGTTTAATTCCCTTAAGAACTAATTTAGTCAATATGTATCTATTTATGATGGTCTCGGCTTATTAAGAAGCATGTGGTAAACAGGAGAGGGGTCACTTGAACACTAGAGAAACTCGTCTTTCCTGAGATGCCTTGAAAACTTGGCCTTGAACCTGGAAAGCACTTAAAGACCATAAAAGCTGAATCACAGAAAAGGGAAATTCCAAGTACTTCAGATGTCCAGTGACCTGTAGGTTCTAATGACTTAAGGTGCCTTCATTTCCCAGCCTTCCCCTTCATTTGTATTTTATTTAATCATTAAGTGGCTACATGCCCTTGAATGTCATACATTCAAAACATCCATGAAACATTCCAAGAATACTCCCACCATGCACAGTAGTAGACTAAGCTCCAGGTCCCAGGTTACAAAAGAAGCAAATGCTCCTGCCATTTCAATTCAGATAAAGGGACCAGCTTTCTCCAGAGCACACCAAGAGGGCATAGTTCATAAACAGCGACATCAAGATAGGGCAAAGTTGATTCTGAATGAGCAAATCAAGATCCATCTAAACCACACCCACAAGCTAAATGGGCACAAAACAGAATCAGCTGAGGAACACATTCACTACTCAAATCTATCAGTTCCTTCTATGTAACATGTAGTTTTCTTCGCCAACCCCCTGGGCCCTGCCATAGTTGCAGTTCCCAAATAACACACAAGATACTATATTAATTATGAAGCTGTTGGCCATTTGCTTGGTTTCTTACTATCTCTGACTTAAGTATTTAACCCATAATTGTTAATCTAAGTATTTCTCTTACCTGAGAAATGGGTCCGGACCTCTTACTCCTCTGGTGGAGGCTGTCTCTGCCTTTGTCTCTCTTTCCCAGAATCCTCCTCGATTCCTATCTTGCTTCCCTATTTGGCCAACAATTGCTTTATTGACATATACACAGGACTTCCCCATAAATTCTAGCCAATCAAAAACCACTAAAGTCTAGAAACTTTTCCAAGGGAACAAACACTCTAGTACTTTTGCCACCTCATAACCTAAAACAGTTTACAAACTTAGTTCTGTAAAATCTTGACATCAGGTCAATTTAATCCAGTTAACTGATGACAAAAGAAGTAAATGATAAATAAATAGCTGTCATTAGCATAATATTTAAGAAGCTTTTTTTAAAACTAGCTACTTGTCAGGGTTTATTGGGTTTTTTGATGGGGTTATTTGTTTTTTTAATGCAGCAATCATTGTCCTTCACCTTTTTCTTTCTGTAAAAACTCAGTGAGCTTCTGAAGTCTGAGCTAAGTCATTGTCTAGCACCATAGTAAACATGGCATACTACTCCCCTTTAAACTTGCATTGAGAATGGTTTGCTTTCCTTGGAAGCAGTGTGAAGGAAGAGGAAATAGATGGACACTTACCTTCGTGTGGAAGTGAGCATTATAGCAGAAATGGCCTCCCCTTTAATTTCTTATTCTATTCTACAAGCAAAGTTGTGGAGAGACAATGAAAGGAAACACTGATGATATCTACTGATCAGGAACAGGAGTTAAAGTAGCAGCTGTAAACAAAGGCAAAGCAAAGAAAGAGGAAGGGGCCTACAAAATGGATCCTAAGGCTTTTCATTAGTAAACAAAATATGCTGTCTTTCGTTAACCCTTTCATCAGAAATCTCAAATTGGGTGTGGAGAAAGTTGTGTTAACATCACAACAGAAAGCCTTCCAAGTCCAGAGCCTTACCAGTCAGTTCAGATTCTCCGATGGAGGTAAGACCCAAATCCCAAGTCCTGGTCAAAGTCTAGAATTCCAGTATCCATCCCAAAGTTCAGACTAGGGGTTAGATAGGCCATAACTTCAGGGACAAAGTAGGGATCCACTCGCTATTTCTTAATGAAATCTAATTTCTGTCAGAGTAAAAGATGGTGACAGCTTTCAGAAATGTGCATTGAATGTGTCTTTAAAATAAAAAAACAAAAATAAAACACAACTTGCTGAAATTCCTGTAATTCTACTGTGAGCTATAAACAATCAAATCTACAAGATGCACCTGAGAATACAAAGGTCAGCTACCCAGTGTGATCAGTGTGATGCTTTTCCCTACATGAGCCCAATTGTACCAAACTGTCACAGAATACAGATTCTCTTGAGTTTCCTAACACACAACTTTTTGGGGGAAAAAACTCTGAAGTCTACTGTGGTTTACAGGAAAAGAACCTAATTATTGTTGATTCTGAAATGTCAATACAGAAATGTTTTTTTGTTGTTGTTTATTAGTGGAGCCGGTAAAATTCTGAATCCCTGATTATGACCGTAACATGAGCAGGCTTAATGAAAGCTCTAGGGTCGATTACTAAGTAGAATGTGGCTTTAAAAAACGGGACAACAAACTGGTCCTGATGGTGCTAGCTTGTAAATCCCAGCTACGGGGGAGGCTGAGTCAAGAGAACTACAAATTCAAGTTCAGTCTGGTCAGAGTTCATGGTGGCCTTGAGCACTTTAGTAAGCCCTTGTCTCAAAATACTAAGATGAAAGAAGGTGCAGCTCATGAGAGAGCTGCACGTGCATCATCCTGAATTCTATCCTGAGTGCCACAAGGGGGGAATGGCTGAAAGTCCTTTCTGTCTACTCCCGACCTTAATTCACACTTACTATTGTTTATGGAGGGAGCACAAGACCTTCATCAACTCCACGTACGTTTCAAGGCTTCAGACTCCAAGATTAAATCAGTGCTGCTGCTTCATTCAGTGGGGTCAGATCATCTTTTTTAGAGCTACCTTGAGTGAAGCATGCTGGCACACTTCTATCATCCCAGTATCTGGAAAGCTAAGCAAGAGGACAGCCATCAACCTGAGGCCAGTGGCCTATGGGCACCTCTCAGGGACTTCTCATAAGCTTAATGTCCAGGCTACAGGCATCTGTCTATTCCTCAGATTTCCAGTCAGAGTTAAGGAAGGTTGATTAATTGAATTTTTCAGATGTCCTAGCCTCCTCCAACCACTAGACTCACATCATCACTAATACTCTAAAGTCATCTGTTTGCACTCTTGTTCCATTCAAAACATGACCTGAGTGTATGTACACACTAAGATTTAAGTAACAGCTCATAAAACTATTCTTATATGTCTCCATAAACCAGGCACCTGGACTATTCATTCCTCAGGGTATTTTCATTATAAATGAAGTCTTGCCATAAAGGGTTCACATTTGTCCCTGAAGTGTCAGAATCAGGCAGAGAAGAAACCAAAAATGGTGAAGAGGTATCTCAGACAACTAGTGATTTCTGTAAAATCAGACAAATGGAGCAAAATAAGCTAGACTCCCATTGCTGTTGTCTCAAGTAATAAAATGAGGTAATGGATATGTCACCTCAGCAATGTATGTGCCTGCCCTCAGTCACTGTGTGATGGAAAAAAGTTCTGTAGTCATCTTCTATGTAGAAACTTGCTGCTGTCATTTCTCACCTCCAGCCATCTTCATGACGTTTCATTTCAGCAGACAGTTATTAAACAACCATCACATAGGTGTGCATGTTTGTTTTTTAAATTGTACGTGTACAACATGCTGCCTAAAACTGAAGAATTATTTCAATAGTGGCCTTATCCTCAATAATATTAAATGTCTGTAACACAAAACACATAAACCCAACGATAGATATTGGGGTTCAAGATTGAAGCTGAAGATCAGGGAAGCAAAGCAGCCAGCCAATAGCTCAGGTTGTAAGGGCTGTCCTGTCTCCACAAATCCTCAGAGGTAAAAGCTCTGAGTTCCTGTCTCTTCCTGTTATATATGCCTTTCTCCACCCAGTCATGTCATTCCTGTCTCTGCCTCCCAAGTGCTGGGATCAAAGTGAACTCTGTTACTCTTCATTCTTGGTTAGGCCAGGGAAGGCCTTAAACTCAGAGAGATCCATCTGCCTGTCTCCTGAGTCCTGGGACTAAAGGTGTACGCCACCACTGCCTGGCTGTATGACTTACTAGTATAGGGATACTGGGATTAAAGATGTGTATCACTACTGCATGACCTCTACATCTTGTGCCTAGCTTTGCATTCTGAATCCTCAGGCAAGATTTAATAAATCATAAATACTATATCACCACAGATGTCTACCCATATTTCTTGAGAAGTTACAATGTATTTGACTTCATTTGGCCTCCTATCCTTTCTGTGATTCAGCAAGTATTAATTGACTCTTTACTACAGGCAAAAGGTAGAAAGCCATGGCTGAAATAGTGCCCTACCCTTGGGATATTAGTAGCCATGATACAATGAACGTCTGCCTTCCTTTAAAGGAATCTAAAACTCTTTAAGGCAATATTAATGTTTCCAGATATTAATTTTTTCATTTTCCAGGATACAAAATTGATTAATTTTGACTCTACCAAAAAAAATCCTAAGCCCATCATTCACTTACAGTCTAGAATTTTCTTTTAAGTACAGCTGAAACTGGTACCAATACTATCTGACAAATCTAATACATGCCCTTGCATTCCTCTAACTATTGCTATAAAAAAGCATCTTGATGCTTAATCTTAGCATAGGGAGGGAGATGTACCTATCATTACTGAATGTGGAAGCATTGGGTGACCCAGAAATTTAGTACTCAATTTATTTTCCCTAAAGTACACATCTAGTGAGAAATTGTTTTTCAATCCTGGTGCAAGAAGTCTAATCCAAATAAAAAACTAAACCTGCAAAAACACCAGCTACCTAAAAGATTGCTTCTAGGAGGAATTGCCCTTATTCTACCCAGTCCTCCACTATGAATAGAAGTGAAAAATGGAAGGAATTCATTATCTGAAATGTCTAAAAGAGAAACAAGCTATCTTTGAAAGTGTCCCCTGAGAGTAAAGATGCTGAAACATAGACTCAGAGCCCCAGTCTTTGGAAGGGCTGTTCTGTGAGATGCTGGTGAGGGCAATATAATATGTGAGACCTAACTCTATGTTTTCTTTTAGTTTCTAGATGTTGTGAAGCTTGTTCATCAGAAGTCCTGGAAGGTGGGGGATATATTTCATGCAGTTGTCCAATACTGCAAAATGCATGCTGAGAAGAAGGATGGGACTCCGAGTCTCTTTGACTGGCTCCTGGAACTAGGATAAGTCAGGTGCACCCCACAAAGACTTTCCCTCCTCTATCCCAGCTTAGGTTACAGTGGTTTGCGCTAAATGCTCGGAACTTTCTCAATATACTGCATCCCATTAGCAGAACTATTTAAAAATCTGCTCCAGTGCCACAGAATAGGAATAAGTCTGAGAGATTGTGAAATATAGGTCTGTACTAATCAATATCACCATGGATTTGTCCAAAAAAGCTTGTATGAGAATGGATTCAAAGAGGGATACATCAGTGGGATCCAAATAGGAAAGTTTATAACAAGCCCCTCCTCCAGGAAAGCTACACTCACATATATATCAGAGTATAGAGTGATCTATAATGTCTCCAGCTATGTAAATCAAATAGAGACAAAGTCATCGGGTCACAATAATTCTATAAATTATGCTAAAACCTTCATCGTACTTTGCTTAGCAGGTACAGGGGTTGCTTGCCCAGGTAAATACTTGGGATATAGTTGAAAGTTTCATGCCTTTATGTGAAAGATTTCCACTCTCAGACCAGTATCAGTGAGTACTAACACACGTGCAACAGTGCTGGCAGAATCCATGTGATGTGACTTCATTTATTTTCAGTGGCTCTTAAGTATGGCCCCTCCCCAATAACACCTGAGCTCCTCAAAAGACTACTGTCATTCAATGAAATAAGAGAAGCTCAAAGTCACCTTATTTCCATCACTACATTTATTACCTGAGTAAAATTATTAGGAAATTCTTGCCTAAAGGCAAGCTTTTTTATTTAACTTTATTTTGTGTGTATTGGTGTGAAGGTGTCAGATCCCCTGGAACTGAAGTTACAGACAGCTATGAGCTGCCATGTGGGTGCTGGGAATTGAACCTGAGTCCTCTGGAAGAGCAGACAGTGCTCTTAACCACTGAACCATCTCTCCAGCCCCTAAAGGCAAGCTTTTAAAAGTAAATGATAAAATAAGCTTGTGTATTGAGTTATATGAGAAAAAATCATTTTGGATTGTTGTAAATTATGAAGAGATTATCTAAATAATATATTATTGTCTTAGAGCTTCATAAACCATGAAGAGATTGTTGTCTCAGGTTGTAGAGTGTCATGAAGCTTGGTGACTGATTGTACAATGAATGTGTTGACATATGTATAGCTGACATGTTTCTCCAAAGACATTTAAGATGATGGATGCGGGGTAATGGCCTTGTGCTTGACAGGGCCATCCAGGAAAGCAGACTTCCAGGCTAGGTGATATTGACACTGAAGTAGATAAATAAAAATATTTATCACATTTTTAAAAAATTTATAATAGAGATAGAGATGTACTCCTTTGAAAACTCAAAGTATCTATATGACCTTAAAAGTCTCCCATTTCAACTAAATATGATCCACTCCCCTCTATTTTATCAATCAGAAAGATGTTTAGTATGTATCTTCTGAAATACTGTGTTTTTACTCTGTTTTTAAAGCTTACAGAATACTTTAATGTGAGCCAGGCCCCACACCAATGTCAACCTTTCTTTTCTATGAGTCACATCCTAAAATGTCAAGAAAGCTTCCTGGTAAGCCATAGATCTTCTCCTCTATGACAGTAATCTTCAAACCTCAGAAGGTATTTGTCACACAGATGGTCCAGATTTAGGTGTATGTTCAATCTGATGCATTAACCAGGTTTTGAAATCCAGCTATCATCTCAAACTGAACTGTGCTTCTTTATGCTAATACATGAAAAATGACATTTTTATTGTTCAAACAATCCTAAACTATCGTGTGTAAACTCTTGTTGTGCTCCAATAAATGTTTACTTATCCTCCAAAGCACAAATACTGGATGTAACCATGTGTTGTACCAATGTTGCAAACTAATCAATAAATTTCTGTTGCCAAATTGTTGCTCAGTCTTTTCTCCTGGACTCTAGGACCTAGAGCTCTAGGAACTGTAAAATAAAATAAAACAGTCACACTGTAAGTAGATAAATAAGTGTTTCTGTCCTGATTTCAATTTCTGATTAAGTAATTGTTTAAAGCAATCTGTTAGAAAAGGGAAGATTCATTTTAAATCATTTCTCAACCTTGGAACTGTATACAAATAATATGTGGATATAATTTTTTGCTATGAGGTATTTTCCTGGATATTGTAGGATGTTTGGCTATATCTCAATCTCTCTCAATTAGATATCAATAATTGCCTCTTCCTGACTGCATCAATCAAGAATGTCTCCCAAAATTGCCAAATTATTCTAAGGGGGTAAATGCAAGACTGGTTGAGGACCAATCAAAGTAATGAATGATGTGTAGGAACAGGACTTGAGCCCCAGTGAGTAATTGAGCAGGAGCTGAATCTTCTTGGGTACAGGGAGTCTCAAAAGGACCAAAAAACCAAGCACCCCATACACACAGCCCTTGGGGGCAGCCTTTACACAAAATCTTGGGGACAAGAGAAAGAGACATATAACCAACATGGAGTCTGTCACACAAATTAATAAGATAAATTCATCAAAATTATAGGAAAATGTGATCCGTGCTTTTTGTATTGTGGAAAAATATTAGAGTATATGCAGATTAAACAGTGAAAGCCATAGGCAATGAATTCACAACAGAACAGGGTCAAGAGCACACCAAAGGAATCAGGAATTCTTCTATCAGCTAGAGGATGTCATCAAATTAAATCAAACTCTGGTTACTGTCACAGGGAGGCATTAGTTGAAAGGACTATTGGGGAATGAGTAATTCAAAAGTGAATACAGAGAAGAGCCGCCCACACAGGAAAGAGATCAGCTCCTCCAAGACCCCAACCCAGCGAGCCCAGCTTCAGGTGAGATTGGGTCCCCGGCTGGGACCACCCGCCCATCACCCATCCCCCTCCATCTTCGGGGCCCCTCCCGGCTTCCAGAAGAGCCGCCCACACAGGAAAGAGATCAGCTCCCCAAGACCCCAACCCAGCGAGTCCAGCTTCAGGTGAGATTGGGTCTCTGGCTGGGACCACCCGCCCACCACCCATCCCCCTCCATCTTCGGGGCCCCTCCCGGCTTCCAGAAGAGCCGCCCACACAGGAAAGAGATCAGCTCCTCCAAGACCCCAACCCAGCGAGCCCAGCTTCAGGTGAGATTGGGTCCCCGGCTGGGACCACCCGCCCATCACCCATCCCCCTCCATCTTCGGGGCCGCTCCCGGCTTCCAGAAGAGCCGCCCACACAGGAAAGAGATCAGCTCCTCCAAGACCCCAACCCAGCGAGCCCAGCTTCAGGTGAGATTGGGTCTCTGGCTGGGACCACCCGCCCATCACCCATCCCCCTCCATCTTCGGGGCCGCTCCCGGCTTCCAGAAGAGCCGCCCACACAGGAAAGAGATCAGCTCCTCCAAGACCCCAACCCAGCGAGCCCAGCTTCAGAAGAGCCGCCCACACAGGAAAGAGATCAGCTCCTCCAAGACCCCAACCCAGCGAGCCCAGCTTCAGAAGAGCCACCCACACAGGAAAGAGATCAGCCCCTCCAAGACCCCAACCCCAGCGAGGCCAGCTTCAGCTTCAGCTGCAGTAAAGAAGGAGACCAGTGGAGACAGAAAGCCCCCACCAGCACCCACTGGAAGAAGAGATGGGAAGAAGACAGAATAAGAGATCACTCAGCAATAGAAACACCAACACGACCCCACCAGAATCCAGGGATCCAACACCAGCAAGACCTGAAAAGCACTACATAGATGAAGAAGAGGAGACAGACCTTAAAAATTATTTCATGAAGATGATGGAGAGCCTCAAGGAAGAAACGAGGAAATCCCTTAAAGAAATAGAAGAAAAAACAAACAAAAAAATCCATGAAATGGGGGAAAAATTCAAGAAATAAACAAATCTCTCAAAGAATCTAAAGAGCACCAAGAAAAAACAACCAAGAAAATTAAGGAAACAGCTCAAACAGTTGAAGGATTGAAAGCTGAAATAGAAACGATAAAGAAAACACAGAATGAAGGGATGCTGGAAATAGAAAAGCTCGGTAAACGGTCTGGAATCACAGATGCAAGCATCACCAATAGAATACAAGAGATAGAAGAGAGAATCTCAGGTGTTGAAGACTCATTAGAGGACATAGCATCGTCAACCAAAGAAAATCTCAAAACCAACAAATCCTTAACACAAAATATCCAGGAAATATGGGACACCGTGAAGAAGCCAAACCTGAGAATAATAGGTATAGAAGAAGGTGAAGAACTTCAACTTAAAGGTACAGAAAACATATTCAACAAAATCATAGAAGAAAACTTCCCTAACCTAAAGAAAGATATGCCTATGAAAGTACAAGAATCTTACAGAACACCAAATAGGCTTGACCAGAAGAAGAAGTCACCTCGCCATATAATAATCAAAACATCAAACCTACAGAGCAAAGAGAAAATATTAAGAGCAGCTAAAGAAAAAGGCCAAGTAACATACAAAGGCAGACCTATCCGAATTACACCTGACTTCTCAATGGAAACGATGAAAGCCAGAAGATCCTGGTCAGATGTCCTACAAACGCTAAGGGAACAAGGATGCCAGCCCAGACTACTATATCCAGCAAAGCTCTCAATTACCATAGATGGAGAAAACAAAATATTCCATGACAAAGCCAGATTTAAACAATACGTATCCATGAATCCAGCTCTACAGAAAATGCTAGAAGGAAAACCTAGAGCCAAGGAAGATAACTACATTCACAAAGACACAGGCAATATAGAATCATACTTTACAAAACACTAAAAGAAAAAGGGAGGAGAAACTACACAAAATAACTTCACTAACAATAAATCAAGCGCAAACAAGGATCACCAATCAATGGTCATTAATATCCCTCAATGTCAATGGCCTCAACTTACCTATAAAAAGACACAGACTAGCAGAATGGATACGAAGACAGAACCCTTCCTTCTGCTGCATACAAGAAACACATCTCAACACCAAAGACAGACGTTATCTCAGAGTAAAGGGCTGGGAAAAGATCTTCCAATCAAACAGCCCCAAGAAACAAGCGGGCGTAGCAATCCTAATATCTAACAAATTAGACTTCAAATTAAAATCAATCAAAAGAGATGAAGAAGGGCACTTCATATTCATCAAAGGAAAAATACATCAAGACGAAGTCTCGATTTTAAATATCTACGCCCCAAATACAAAGGCACCTACATTCGTGAAAGAAACATTACTAAAGCTCAAAATGCACATAAAATCTCACACACTAATAGTAGGAGACTTCAACACTCCGCTCTCACCGCTAGATAGGACCTCCAGACAGAAACTTAACAAAGAAACAAAAGAATTAATAGAAGTTATGACCCAACTGGGTTTAACAGACATCTATAGAACATTCCACCCAAATACAAAGGGATATACCTTCTTCTCGGCACCACATGGAACCTTCTCTAAAATTGACCACATAATAGGAAACATAGCAAATCTCCACAGATACAAAAAAATTGGAATAACCCCCTGCATCTTATCAGACCACCATGCATTAACATTAGAATTCAACAATAACACAAATCGCAGAAACCCTACAAACTCATGGAGATTGAACAATGCACAATTGCACCATCCCTGGGTAAAGGAACAAATAAAAAAAGAAATTAAAGACTTCCTCGATTTCAATGAGAATGAAGACACAACATACACAAACTTATGGGACACTTTGAAAGCAGTGCTGAGAGGAAAGTTTATAGCACTAAGTGCCCACATGAAAAAACTGGAGAACAGTCATACTAGAGAATTAATAGCACAGCTGAATGTTCTAGAACAAAAAGAAGCAAACTCCCCAGGAGGAGCAGACGCCAGGAAATAATCAAATTGAGGGCTGAAATCAATCAAGTAGAAACCAGGAAAACATTGAGAAGAATCAATGAAACAAAGAGTTGGTTCTTTGAGAAAATCAACAAAATAGACAAACCTCTGTCCAAACTAACCAAAAGACAGAGAGAGAACATGCTAATTAACAAAATCAGGGATGAGAAAGGGGACATAACAACGGACTCTGAGGAAATCAAGAGAATCATCAGGGCATACTTTGAAAATCTGTACTCCACAAAATTTGAAAATTTAAAGGAAATGGACAATTTCCTGGATAGATATCACTTGCCAAAACTAAATCAAGAACAGATAAATAATCTAAACAGACCTATAACCCCTAATGAAATAGAAGCAGTCATCAAAAGTCTCCCAAACAAAAAAAGCCCAGGCCCAGATGGCTTCAGTGCAGAATTCTACCAGAAATTCAAAGAAGAGCTCATTCCAATACTCGTCAAAGTATTCCACACTATAGAAGCAGGAGGCTCACTGCCAAACTCTTTCTACGAGGCTACAATTACCTTGATACCCAAGCCACACAAAGACACAACTAAGAAAGAGAACTATAGACCAATTTCCCTCATGAACATTGATGCAAAAATACTCAATAAAATACTTGCAAACCGGATTCAAGAACACATCAGAAAAATCATCCACCATGATCAAGTAGGCTTCATTCCAGGAATGCAGGGATGGTTCAACATTAGAAAATCTATCAATGTAATCCACCATATTAACAATCTGCGAAAGAAAAACCACATGATTATCTCACTAGATGCTGAAAAAGCCTTTGACAAAATCCAGCACCCCTTCATGATAAAGGTCCTAGAGAGATCAGGGATAACAGGAACGTACCTGAACATAATAAAAGCAATATACAGTAAACCAACAGCTAACATCAAACTAAATGGAGAGAAACTCAAAGCAATTCCTCTAAAATCAGGAACAAGACAAGGCTGTCCACTCTCTCCATATCTCTTCAATATTGTACTTGAAGTTCTAGCTACAGCAATAAGACAACAAAAGGAGATAAAGGGGATACAAATAGGAAAAGAAGAAGTCAAGCTTTCATTATTTGCA